AAAAAAGTGTCTGTTCATATCTTTTGCCCTCGTCTATTTTATGCTTCAGTTTGCTCAACTGCAAAATGGAGTTAATAACAGCACCTACCTCACAGGTTGGTGCAAGGACTGAATGCAGTGATACACAGAAACTGCTTCAAACAGGGCCTGGCCGCAGTGATTGCTGTAAACGTGCACACTCACTACTGCTATTAGTGTTACTGCTACTACTGCTCCCTCAATGAAATTAACCTGATGGAGGAGATGGGCTACTGTCCCAGTGTGCTGGAGGAGGCAGGCCCTCCATCTCCAGGAGGCCCTGTGGGGGACCCACCTGTAGAGCAGCAACTTGTTGAGGCAAGCATTGATGAGCAGCGAGGGGTCCCGGGCCTCACGGCTGACCCAGGACCGGGCTGAGATGCTGGTCACAGGACTCCCCTCATGCACCACCAGACGCTTGGCTTTGGTCAGCTTCCCTGCAGCAGCGGAGGGAGGGAGGGCAAAGGGGAGGGTGAGGGCTATGCCCTGGGAGGGCAAGCATCCAGATGCAGAACTACTGTCTGCCTACCTGTGGCCATGTCGAACAGGAAGGAGAAGATACTGCCACGGTCATCACCCGCCCAGAGCAGCCGGCCAGGGGCATCAAAGGACAGAGCGAGGACACGGCCTGTCAGCTTGCTGGAGCCCCCCTTCACTTTCTTGCCCGTGGAGATGTTCATGACATGCACATTGTGCTTGGCGTTCCCCACCTGTGGGGAGAGTGCACAGACCATCATTCTGCTCCCAGCCAGTCCCTCCTCGAGTCTGAACACAGTGAGGCTACCGTTGATGGGACTGGCTGGTCCCCATTAAGAGTCTATTCACAGTGGGGCTGTGGCAGGTAGACAAGAAGGTGATCAGGCATGAATCCACCTCCCTAGCCAGCCCCTCTTGCAATCTGCCCAGAGTAGGGCACTTGCCTATGGGACTAAAGGGCCTTCAGAGCCATCATGCTGCCCCTTGGCCAGTCCTCCTGCAGTGTGAGAACCACGGGGCCTGCCCAGGCCTGTGATCCCAGCTTTACCCTGCTCCCTGGCTGCGCCTTTCTGGAACTTGTGGGGCTGCTGCTGACATGGGGAGGATCCTGGCCCACAAGCTCGCTCTTGGTCAGTTCCTCTGTACTTCACCCCATCCCACCCTGGGCCATGCCAGACTTTTTAATGTTCTTCCCCTGCTCTCTGACCAATCTACCCTGGAGTCTGACCATGGTGGGGCTGCCATTGATAGACCAGATGAGGCTCAGCCTCATCGTCCTGCTCCTCAGAGGTAGCCCCTGCAGTTAGAAAGCTGTAGGACTGCAGCTGACGTGACCAAAGGGGTCCCAGAGCCAGGACCCTGCCCTGGCCAGTGCTCCCTGAAGTTTACCACAGCAAGGCCATCTCAGACCAAGAATGGTCTTATGATCTGCTTCCCTTTTAAGTCTGACCACACTAGGACTGCTGTGATGAGATTCGCGGGGGTCCTAGGCCCCCCTGGCTGCCCCTCCTTATACTCTCACTCCCTCAGATGGCCTTCCTGACCCAGTCCGCCCGCCCTTGGTGAGTGGGTGCCCTGGAGCCTGACCACGGTGAGGTTGTTGTTGACAGGCTGGAAGGTACAGCAGAGCAGTTCAGCACCATCGGGGTCAGGGATCTCCCGGATGCAGCGGCCATCCTCAGAGGCCCAGATGCGCATGGTAGCATCAAGTGAGGTGGATACGAGGATGTCATTGGAGAGGGACCAGGCGAAGTCAGAGACACCACGGGTGTGGCCCCGTAGGACACGAAGCACTGTGGGCGGGGCGGGTACCAGCTGGCACAGGGAGATGCTGCCGTCGAGTGAGCAGCAGGCCAGGCGGTGCCGGTCATCATTGGCGAAGCGCACTCGTGGAACTGCAATGCCAAGAAGCCATTTGTGGGAGTCTGCACACACACTGGGCACTTTTCTCTCTAAAAGGCTCTGATGCGTGTGCCAGGGCCTGGGGCCCCACTGCATGAGGCACAGTGGCCTCAGCAAAGGGCTTTCCTTGGCTGACAAAGGGAACTGTAACCCCAGAGGGCACTCTGCCAAAGCTCCCTAAGTCTTAGCAGCTCCTTTGCAGATTGCAAAAGTCTTCTGCAATGTGAAAAAGCTCCTGTCTTAGCAAACAATTTACAATCAAGGTCTTGGCCGTTTGCAAAACCCTTGACACTGTAGCCCACTCTGTCCTCTGCAAGGGGATTTCTCATCAGCAAAGTCTTTTTTTTTTGAAACGGAGTCTTGCTTCTCGCTCTGTCACCCAGGCTGGAGTGCAGTGGTACAATCTTGGCTCACTGCAACCTCCACCTCCCGGGCTCAAGTGATTCTCCTGCCTCAGCCTCCTGAGTAGCTGGGACTACAGGCCCTTGCCACCATGCCCGGCTAATTTTTTGTATTTTTAGTAGAGACGGAGTTTCACTGTGTTAGCCGCGATGGTCTCTATCTCTTGACCTTGTGATCTGCCCGCCTCAGCCTCCCAAAGTGCTGGGATTACAGGCGTGAGCCACCTCGCCCAGCCCATCTTTGAACTCTTCCAAGTGACTCACAAACCCAGGCTCCCTGCTACAAAGGGCTCTCTTAGGCTTCTGAGGCTCTTTACAGTAGAGAAAGCACTGAGACTCTGCAGACCACTGTGCAGGGGGCTTTTCAGTCTGCAGAAGGCTTTCTGGATGCGAATTCCTCCTTCAGAGGTGTGCCAGGGGCCTGGTATTCAGAAAAGGATGCCTTGGTTGGTTGTCACAGTTTGGGCAAACACTTGGTGATAGAACCCGCCACCCACTGACTCACCTGCTTCATCCACGTGCTGGTCAAAAACATGGTACATGCCTGCAAAGGCATAGTTCTCGCTCAGTGATGTGTCCCCAGCCATGGCCCGGCTTGCCTCTGCCGCTGACGTGGGCACCACGCTGCCAGGGGGCCTGGGCCCCAATAGGAAGTGAGGGGTGACAAGAGGTAGATGTGAGTGTGTTCAGTCTGCCATTGCCCCAGGGACCCTCTCCTCCTCACAACCATACCCTCCTCAGCTACCTCTGGCGCATACCTGTCCTCATAGACGGCACGGTTCATCTGTGCTTGCAGCTGGTAGGAGCCTCGACTGACAGAACGGCGGTGCCCACGGGCCCCCAGGGCCCGAGGATCATCCTCAAAGTCCTGCAAATGGAGAGGGTCAGAGTGGGTGCATCCTGCAAAAAGCCCCTGAGATCCTTTGAGGTGTGGAGCCCTGAAATTCTACCTAGAGCCAGATCACTTCTCACCGTGTCCCCTGCCACCACCACTGCTGCCTGCCTGCACTACTGCAGTGGCTTCTTCACGAGTTCTGCTGTTCCTGCCCTCCCCCTGCTCAACAGATACTCCAAACATGGCTTGTTCTATGTTTATTGACCTGTTTACCAAGTTTATTGTCTGTTCATTGATTTACTTGGCATATTATCTTTTTGTCCTCTGCTGATGCAGAACAGTGCCCAGCACAGAGCAGGTGCTTGATGAAAGTCTGCAGAGCGAATGTATGCAGGCAGGGTATGCCCAGGGGGCGAATGTGGCCAGGAGCTCACCTCCATGCGGTCAAGGGTAGTGCGGCTACTGCGGACGATGCTGTTGCTATAGGCACGAGCACTGCCTGGCTCGGAGAGGGGCCCGTAGCGCTGGCCCAGCAGCTGCCCCCGAAGCCTCAGGTACTGCCGACGCAGTGCTGGGGGGTGCCCAGCCTTGGCATTCTCCCGCAGCAGCTGGCTGCGCCGGCGGATATACTGCGTCCGAAACTGTGGAAACGTTGGTGTGCGGTACGCGTTGTACCTGCAGGGTCAGGATGCAGGGCAGGCAGCAGGCACAGGACAGAGGGAATCAATCAGCTCGGGGAACAGGGCAGGAGAGTGAGGTATGTGGCAGTGACTGGGGCCGAGGTAGTAAGAATGACTAGCAGTGGTGATGGGGGACCTCTTGGTCCTGTGGTAGGAGTGAATCTTCGGTAATAATCAGCATGGTGATGAGGTGAGTTTGCAGACAATGGAGTCAGTCTGCTGCTTTGCTGGGGTCCCTACCGGGTGACTGGGTCAGCGCGGACAATAATTGGGGTCAGTCTACCATGGCAACAGAAATCACACTGACATTATGGGGGTCAGCGTTGGGTGGTGATGGGGTCAGAACAGGGAAGTGATGATGTTAAAAAAAAATCTAGGAGACACCCATAGGGGATAGGATGTCACCAGCCTGAGCCCCACCTCCCTCCCACAGGCAGCCTCTTTGCGCATGTCCACATCTGACCACATTTTCCCAGCATGCCGTTTAGAACCCTCTCCGGCCCAGAAACTCACGGCGGGCGCGCCCGCCTCCGCTACTGCGCATGCTCACCTCCAGCAAGCCCACGCAGCCGCATAAGGCAAATTCTCCGCCCAGCCTCACTTATCGCCATTGCGCATGCACCACAGTAAGTTCCGCTCCCATGGGCTTCGACCCTACGCCTCACCTCGCGTCCACTGCTAAGACTTGCTGCCACACCGCGGCCATTCCCTGGCCTCCTCCTCTGGCGCCTCCGCCCGCGGGAGCCTGCAGGACAAGGGCCTGGAATGTGAGCGTCCCGAGCGAAGGGATCTAGTTCCGTCCCTTCCGCCAGGCGACCATTGCCGTAGACATCGAGTCCCTCCGCGCTGGAGATGTCACGAACTCCCACCCGGCTGTTACCATGGTCATCACCCCAGCCCTGCCCTTCCTGGGCAACGCCCGGGTGACACACAGCGATTCAGAACAGACACCGCCCCTCCCCGGTCGCCGTAGCAACGCCCCTCCCCCGCCTAGCATTCCTTGCTTGACATTTCCCACCCATCTTGTCCCCGCCGCCCTCCGCCTTCCCTTCTCAGGTCCAAGAGCATAGCCCGGGATCGGGGACCACCTCCGGGGCTGCCTCCGGTTCTTGAGGCCCCCCGGGGCGGCCCTGAGACCACTGTCGCCGGTTCCTTCTGTCTCTCTTCCCTTTCTCAGGCTCCAGGCAAGATGGCCGCCTGCTATCAGCGAGAGCTGCCGAGCCCAGAGCGAATCGATAGGCATCCTTCCCAGGGCGTGGGAGTCTCGCAGGCGCATTGAGGGACATTCGCTTCAGGCACAAGGACAGAGGATCCACCCCTCGACTTCTACCCATTCGTTAATGGCACTTTTTGTTTATACAAGGATAATGTCCAAGGGACATAGTGTCGGGGTGAGTTTACGAATAATTCCCTAGAAATCAGAAATACATTATAAAAAAGAGAAGGTGGCCGGGTGCGGGGGCTCACACCTGTAATCCCAGCACTTTGGGAGGCCGAGGCGGGTGGATCACGAGATCAGGAGATCAAGACCATCCTGGCCAACATGGTGAAACCCTGTCTCTCAAAAA